GGAACGACTAGCACATATGTGCACGGAGAAACTTTACCTTTAGCCAGGATACAAAGCGTAGTTCAGGCTGGGTTAGTGAGGTTGGGCAGGACTTTTGCAGCTCTTCTCTCTAGGGTGAAGGATTGGAATGCGTGATGGCAGGGACTGTTCAGCATGTGCTATGGACCCAGCAATGGAGGTTCTCCATCACCCAGATCATGGTTGTTCCAAAGGAGCTTTTCAGACTTCCCAGTTGCCCATTGAAAAAAAGCACCTTTGTTGACAACTATGACCTGGATGATGGAGAATCATCCATTATGGTCCCAAAGCAGCTGGACTTCCTTGGTGTTATGTTTGAAAAAAACATTTCATTTCTCATTCAAGAAGCTTCTTCAAAACTGGGAAGAAAAACTGAAAGGGGGGTGGGAATGTCTTTGGGACACAGCAATAGAGTCAACCAACGGATAGATCTGGAGCCTCGGGCATTGTGTGGAGCCAGGTTTAGGAGTCTGTTTCGGCCTGCTGTGGGAATCTAGGGCATTGGGTTAATTGAGTGAACCAGGGTAAAGCTAAGGATTGAGTGCCTTGGGAGGAGGGCAGAGCGGATTAGCTCACGTTAAGTTGTGTGTCTGCAAAATGCTAACCCATGGTTATCTGAATAGTGAGTTTTTTCTGATTCACTTGTCTAGGTTTACCCAACATATTGAACCATGCTGTTGTCTGGCATGCTCAGGCAACCTTTTTGTGTAGCTCATCATTCTCCCTCCATCCCTGCTCTCCAAAAACACCCATGGTGAACAAGCACTTGTGTTAGTACTGATAACAGTATGCAGGCAATTTTTCATCTGGGTACATCCCAGTAAAAGACATTTCTAGTCTTGTGCAGAACATTGTGAATTTGGAACACTTCAGGCTCAGCACACTGGTTTCAATGATTCTGGAATGCTTGAAACAGTAGAGAGCATTTCCACTAAGATTGGAAAACTTGTTTTGAACTGAGAGTAGCCATTTGAAACTGAAAACAGGGCAATTTGAAGTCTAAATTTTATGTTTTGATATAGTGGTTAAGGCATTGAGCTAGAAACTGGGAGATCCTGAATTTTAGGCATCTTAGGAGATCCATCTTAGGCACAAAGCCAGCTAGGTGGTTTTGGACCAGTCACTTTCTCTTAGCCTTAGGAAGGAGGCAATGTCAAACCACTTCTGAAAAACCTTGTTAAGAAACAGTAGGGATTTGTCCAGACAGTTTCTGAGGTTAAGACTCAATTGAATAGAAGAAGAAAAAATAAACTTATTTTTCCCTCATGGGCCTGTAAAGAAATAGAAGATAGAGAGTAGAAATAAGTTGGATATCATGTAGTCTAAACTCTGCCCAAAAACCTGCTGCAGCATCCCTAACAACCGTCCAGTTTCTGTTCAAATACTTTCTGTGACAGTGTGTTGTTCTATTGTTGAAGAAATCTTATCAGAAATTTATCCGAATGCTCAACTGAAGTTGTCTTCTTAATTTAAGTCCATTGTGTTTTGTCATCAGGAACAACTGGAACAATCCTGCCCAATTTTCTACATAACCCTTCATACATTCATTGGAGGGCAGCTATCTTGTATCAGGCTTCCACATTAAACATAGCCATTGACTCCAGTCATTCAATTCTCATTTCAGTTGTTTCATTCTTAAGACTCAGAACTATGCCCAGAACTGGATGTAATATTTTAGGTATGGTTTGATCAGCCTTTCTTTGCTTAGCACCTTTCTCCTTAATTAATCCTGTTTAGCACCTCCTAAATTAATCCTATTTACTGGATTAATTTATTAATGTCTTTGCATGTGTTTGCATAATATTTTATGAACCAATCAAGTAGTCTATATAACATGATAAACACATACATATTCAAAACCCATTAAGGGTTAAATTAACTATACCTAACATCTTATGGAAATGCAGTTGCTTGGTTTCGAATTGAGTGCTATGCCTCTTGTAAGAACTGTAGCATTTATTAAGGTTTTGTGGCCCATTAAAAAAATAATGTTGTACAAGTATTCTGATGAAATGTGGCCATTAAAATGCTGCAGTGTTCTTTGAAGTACATTTTCTAAGTTATACCTCAGGACAATTAATGTATTTTCTCAACAATTATGAAAACAAATGCTTTTCTTTTGAGTTCAAAAAGTTAAAAAAAAGATTTAGTTCTCATTCTGTACATGTTTCTTTTACTCAAAAGTACGTTCCATTCAGTTCAACGGGTTATATTCACACTGGTTGGAAAATTTAAAATGGCAGTTGCAGATTTCTTTTTCTTTTGATAATGTGTGGAGAGGGAATGTGTGAAGGAAGTCCACTTAATTTCTGTTGCTTGGAGGAATGCAATAGGCAGATCTTATTCTTTTAAAAATATACAGAAGGAATCATGACTGTTAGATGGGGAAGAATGAATGAAAACTCATCCTGGAAGATTTGGGAACATAATAGAATAGATTAAAAAAGGAACAATGCTGGATCAAACCAAAGATCCGTTTGATCCAGCACAGTGACCAGTCAGATCCTTTGTCAAACCCTCTGTCAGAATATGAGTTGAGTTGCTTTCTCATACAGTACTTGTGTTCCATGGCAACAGTGATTCAAAAACACACTAGCTGTGATGCTGAAGGTAATATATAACAATCCATTGAAATCTTTATCCTCCATGTACTTGTCTATTTTTATAGCAGTCCCGTTTGGCAGGAATCACTTTATCTTGTGATAACAAATTTCATCAGTTGGTAACATTTTGTGTGGAATATCACCTTTTGTCTGATATGCAACTTTCACTTTTTCGGATTTGTCAAATAACTTCAGGGTTAATATTAAGAGATTAGTGGCGAGAGTTGAGGACTAGTGATCCCAAAGCTGATAAATTGTTGAAAAGGACAGTTAAATCATGGCAAGTTTTTCCTAGTTCACCTCTATCTCATACCTATATAGGGGAGAATGGCTTGAGCTGGGAGAGAGAAAGATGACATGACAAGGGGAGAATGCATCCCCCAAGGCTTGAGTTGCAGGTGGGGAGGATTAGGCCAGACAAGGAATAATGGATGGAAAGTGAACATGGAGAGATTCAATCTAAAAATAAGGAGGAATTTTCTGACAGTGAGAACAATCAACCAATGGAACAGAAATTGCCTTCAGAAATATTGGGAGCTTCAGCTCTGGAAGCTTTCAAGAAGAGATTGGACTGCCATCTGTTAGAAATGATGTAGGTGTCCTGCTTGGGTGGGTGGGACTAGATGACCTACAAGGTCCCTTCCAACTGTTAATCTATTAAAAACTCCTTGGAGGGGGGAAAAAGGATATCCTCTTATTCTGAAAGGGTAACAACATCAATAACAAAACAAATAGTTTGAATTGCTAAGGAAGAAATACTGTATTTATTAGATGGGGAAAAACTTGTATTGAATCTTCTCTAAGGATTGCATTGGAGAGGAAATAGAAGGTGTAGCTAATTGTTACCAAATCAAAGCTAGATTTAAAGAGTTTTTCCATGATTAATGTAAGGAGAATGCGTTATTCACCATAGTGCAGAGAATAGGGAGATGAAGGTTGCTGATCATATATGTTTAAAACAGAGGGATGACCTTCTTTAAAACATATGATAAAGGACCCCATTGTTAGACTTCAATACAATTATATAGTATATTTAACTTTGTGCATCACACTGAGCCACAATGTGGTTTGGTTTAACCTAGCAAGAGCCTGTGAATCCAGCGATTGCTATTTGTAAATCACATTTTATAAGTTGGAATAGAATTCTTTATTGGCCAAGTGTGATTGGACACAACAAGGAATTTGTCTTTGGTTCATATGCTCTCAGTGTGCATACAAAGAAAAAAAATATTCATCAAGAATCATACGATACAACACTTAGTGATAGTCACAGGTTACTAAATAACTCATACTAGGAAGCAAAACAATATAAATCATAAAGATACAAGCAACAAGGCTATAGTCATAAGTNGTGAATGTGGGTATTGTAATAGATCCCTGAATTTTGTAACGAAAAGATGACGGTTAGAGACTAAACCAGTGTTTTTCAATCTTTTTTGTGCAAAGGCACACTTTTTTCATGAAAAAAATCACGAGGCACACCACCATTAGAAAATGTTTAAAAAAATTAACTCTGTGCCTATATTGACTATAGGCGGGTGTTTTTCCCACGGCATACCTTACACTATGTCACGGCACACTAGTGTGCTACGGCACAGTGGTTGAAAAACACTGGACTAAACAATGAGGAAGAAAAAAAAATGTTGGGCTGTGAATGATTGTCACGGGAGGGGGGGGAGGGTTTGTATGTTTAAAGTTGTATTTGTATGTCTTATTAAAAAAATGTATAACCAATAAAGATTATTTTTTTAAAAAAGATTGCAATGCATACACAGCACAATTAGGGAAAAGCTATCAGGAATTTAAAATGAACCAAAAGATAACCAAATGACTGCAATCTAAATACACTGGAAAAGCCTTCCTCACTCCTCCGGTTTGAAAACTCAAGAGCTTTTCGTGGCTGTTTTTTGGGGGAAATGTTTTATTCTCCCACAAAAAAACAAGAAATGTTAAAATTCTCTTGAACTATCATATCAAGTAAAGAAAAAACAGGAAATAATACATTCTTAAATATAAGCCAGCTAAAAAAAATCTGGCTTGTTATACATTTTAAAAAATAGTGGTTGAATTAGACGCATCGTTAAAAACACTTAGCTATACATCATACATATCCACAAAAAGTATAGTTAAATGGAAGAAATATTTCCTTCGGTATAAATTATGAAGAATGCCTCTTTAAAGAATATGCTTTGTCATTTATGGATTTATAGTATTTACATTTTTTTTAAAAAAATCTGACCCTCTTTTCCCAGTGCAACATTTGGGAGAAAAGTACATGGTCGAATGAGAAAGACAGAAACATCTGTCTGGCCAGCCCAATGAGTAAAAGCAATGCAATTAGAAGGGGGTAACAGATGGCACCACCAGGTATAAGCTTACCTCTTCTTTTTCTAGGAGAACAAAACCAGCTGAATTGAGAGTGCACAAGGTGTAATTAATATTTTTGCTGGATGGGGATTTATAACATTAAAGATTAAGTTTTAAGTTCTGTAGTACGTGCTCATTGTACAAAATCCTGAACTGTTACTGTTGGCAGCAATTATTACATTTGTACTTGAAGTAAAAACAAAACCACAAAGCAGATACATTTGGTTAAATAGTAACTCCAAAGCTCCTTTTCTGACTTACCTCTTCTCTTAGCTGAAAATGCACAAGGGAAGCCAAACTTTTAGAAGCCATGTGAGAGAGCTGTTTATCTGAACTACGTAACAGATGAATCTAGGAGAAATCGAAACAGACGGGAGTTGCAGCTACCAAACACCTTAACAAAGGAGTCTGAGAAAAATACAACCTTTGGGAAACTTACTAATTCAGAGAAAATGTTTGATTCTTCCAGGATTCTTAGGATCTTCAGGTATTTCTGTTTTATTTCATTAGCCACCTCTTGCAGATGCAGTTTGGCAAGCATCATCTCGATCAAAGTTAACTGAAGCAGAATAATTTCCCGGGCGTGGCACTTCAGATGGCTAAGGTTTGTAGAAATATCATGTTCACTGTTTATTGGGTCTAGACTGGAAGAGAGCTGAGCATCCAATTTAGAAAAAAAATGACAGGCACATAATTCACAATTTTTTGGCGATGAAAAAACTGAAGGATTTAGAAGAGCTGCACATTTGTAACTGTCTTGGGTTAACAAAACACCAGCAATTATATCATTATACGTTTTTTGGAGGAAGTGAAAGTAAGTCTCCATTATCAGCAATTTTTATCTATCCCGGGATTCTTTATATATTCATATCTGCAGGATTTGAATTGTTTTTTTTCCAGGAACTGATTCTCATAGAAGATATAACTTTGTAAAAATTACAATTCCTATTCCATTGTTTATTTTCAGGAACTGACTCTATACATCTGTAAGATGTAATTCTGTAAAGATTCCAATTCTACTGTATCTAAAAAAAAATGACAAGAAATGTGAGGTCAGTAAAGATTCTTAGTGAAAAGTCAAAACAATTCAAGTTATGTTATAAGATTAGAAACATTTCAGAATCAAGAACTATTCAAATATAGCTACTAATTACTTTTTAAATTAGATTTATATTCTACTATTTCCTCAGTCAAGGTAGTTTCCATGAAGGCCTCTGTCTTTTTCATTCTCACAGCAGCAACCCCCTTGAACTAGCACGAGGGAGACAATNTCCAAAAGTTTTTGGCATTGGCCATTTTCTCATCATTTTGTACTCTTAAAGTGACTAGCTAGCCAAACCAGTGACACAAAGCATAAACTCTTACAGCTTTATTACTTAACACTTTGTTTTACCAGTCACAAAAGCAGAAGAGCACATAGAATAGATAGATGGAATAGATAGAATACTTTATCTGGCCAAGTGTGATTAGACACACATGGAATTTGTCTCCGGTGCAGAAGCTCTCAAGATACATGCAAAGCCACAGAGTAATAATAATTATAATACAATATCAATAAGAGGAGGTAGTAGAGAAGATGAGAAGGAAGATAATACTAATATTACAGCCATACATCGGTTAATGTATCTAGACATAAAACAATACTGTGAGGATTAGGTATAAAGGCTCCCTTAATTAATCCACGTAAAATTACATCCAAGAGCTGAGGTGGCTAGCTGCAGTTTGGCAGTTCAAATCTCACCAGGCTCAAGGTTGACTCAGCCTTACATCCTTCCAAGATGGGTAAAATGAGGAACCAGTTTGTTGGGGCAAGAGGCTGACTCTGTAACCACTTAGAGACTCAGATACCACTATGAAGCGGTATATAAGTCTAAGTGTCATTGCTATATTGGCCTCCATACTTAATTAGGTAAAATCAGTTGTGTACTGAACTAATTCAGATTGAAAATGAGAACTCATAAAACAGCAAAGTGTTTCTAAATAGTAACAGCAACAGCACTTCATAATGCTTTTACAGCCCTCTCTAAGCAGTTTACAGAGTCAGCATCTTCCCCCAACAATCCGGGTCCTCATGTTACTGACCCTGGAAGGATGAAAGGCTGAGTCAAATGGTCTAGGATGGTTTTACTAGAAACTGACAGCATACAGTTAGGTTTACGTATCTCATTAACCTGTAAGATTGACCTTTGGCATAGTATGGTAGCCAGTTTTTTGTAATTACAGCTTACCACCTAGTAGATTGTGCAAGTCCAGCCAAAGATATTTATTTAAAATAGCATAGTAACCATGATGGGTGAAATCCCCCCCCTTCCCACTCTTTCTTTCTATCTGAAAAGCTGGAAACTAGCATTCTCTCCAACCTGTTTACATGGAAATATGAGCAGTGTGGGTAGTCCACAATGGAGCCTAATTTTTTGTTGCTAAGCGAGNTTTGAAAGCATGTAAAAAATGCAAGTAGGAAAATAGGAACCACCTTTGGTGGGAAGGTAACAGTGTTCCATGCGCCTTCAGCATTTAGTCATGCCGGCCACATGATCACGGAGACGTCTTCGGACCACGCTGGCTCTTTGGATTTGAAACGGAGATGAGCACTGGTCCCTAGAGTCGGGAATGACTAGCACATATGTCCAAGGTGAACCTTTATCTTTAAAGTTGACAATGATAACCAGATCACCTGCAACTTAGAGGTCTTTTATTGAAGGTTTCATATAGTATCTTAAAGGAGGAATGTCGTCAGAATATAGCATGTAGACTCTTTGCTTACTAAGCTGAGATACATATTGTATGTTTAAACTTCCAGCTTCAAGTCCTTGGAATTAAATGTTCTCTTTTAAGTCTATTTACAATTACAAACAGTTCTATGCGTACCGGTCCCCGTTGATAGTTTTGTAGGAAAAGAGTCAGATACTGTTTTTGTTCAGTGAGGCTCAGTATGATTTCAGGGGCCGCTTGTGATTACAAGAATTTGAAAATATGTCACAGAGAAACAATTTGCAAGGTAAACAGTAAAGGGTGAAATATATTAGCCTTGGTAATATTCCTAAGGTGAAGTTCATTTTTAGGTTTTCAAAATGTGATGAGCTTTTAAAAATGGTTAACATTTACAGCCGAGTGATCAAATACATTTAAATGTTTATATTGTTTTTGTTATTTGAAGCCTTTTAGATGACGGTTTTTGCTTGTTCAAATTGCAGTCTCTGGGTCAAATGTTTGCATTTAAAAATGGTTACATTACAATCATGTATGTTGATTTTGAGAGCTTGTTCGGATAATTTGGGATACTTTGGCAACAGCATTCATAATATCAGAACATTTTACCTTCCAAGTAGCTTCTAGAAGAAGCCAAATCTTGTCCTTCTACAAACAGATTTCACTGTGTGCCCGTGCTTCTAAAATGATCAAAAGCTATAAACTAGAATTAAGATTTTAATTTATATATATGTACAATATGTGCCTTTTATAATAGAACTTGCATACTATTTCACCCTTGGTAAGCCATTCATTACTTCGCTGCTGTACTGAAGTGGGTATTTATACCCATTTTGCAGTTGGTGAACAGGAACTGTATTTCTGTGGTATATAGTATGGAATGTGGTTCGTTTATTTTTGGCTTAGCATATTATGGAAACCAGACCATTATGATTTGTAAGTGAAAAGGAAATGGGCAGCATTGATTTGGGTCTGGGAAAGAAATCTTCCACTTCTATTTACTAGCTGTTTTCATTATGTCACTTCATGAATGCAGTAGCACGGCTGACTTTTATAGTGCATAGCAACACAAAGCATTGTGTCTTAGTATCTTTGTTAATTTCCTATCTTGTTTTCAGCTGCAACTATTGCAGGGAGATTAAATTTGCTTTTGAAAAATTAGCTTTTTCGCTAAGAGAAATTATGAAGCAGTGCTACTTTTTAAAATAAAGAATTTGGACTTCCCCCAAATCTGATTTGTCTTGACCACATGTTCCTCACATTCGTACATTGATTTGAGTCAACAACATGGCAAAATTGATTGTCCTGCTGTTGTCATATTCACACTGGTCAATTTTTCCTTTGTAACATTTGGAAATCACCAATTGAATAATCCACATTTTATTCAATGAGATAAACAGGGAACAATAAATCCTGCAAAAATGTTGGAAGTGCTAAAACACAGTCAGCACATGCTTTGCTAATACATAGCTTGTTCTTTAGCCTTCTAAGATTATTAGCCGAAACCATGGCAAGCTCCAGCAACCAAGCAAAGCAGCTAAGTTCAGAGGCATTTGAAAACCATCATAAAATGTGTTTGGTTTCCTTTGTTGTGCCAACTCAAGTAATATGATTAATAAACTATGGTTTGTGGCACATTGTGATTTGGGAATTCGCCATTAGTGACTCATTTACTGAGACATTATAAAATGAATCATAGCTTAATGTACCGTGTGAACCTCTAATTCTGTTAGAGGGACAATTCCCTGTGAGATACAGCTTCCTTAAATCTTGGTATGAGACAGAAAGATCTGAATACCCATAAAAAGAAAACGCACAGGAAGCAAAACAGTGACCATTCACCTCTGTAATATAACATTGATAGCATTCAGAGAAATGAATGGGAATCCTTCTTGAGAGAAATAAGCATCCAGAGCAGGGGTCACCAACCTTACAGACCTTAGGGACCACTAAATTCATAATTTTAAATCCCGTGGACCACCAAGATGAATTAGTGACAGGATGGGGTCCTTCAGGCACTTAGCTTGGCTGTCTGTTAGCGGAGAGAAGTGCCCGGGGTCAACTCTAGTTTTGCTGTCCATTGCAGCTAGGAATCTCAAATACAGCCATGAATGAATGTTTGTCTTGTAGCCAGCCCAGGGGCTAGATTGGCCCGCTGCAAACTCTCTCTTTCGAGGAGCCTGGCCAAAGTTTTGTGCACCACTCACTGAAATACCTGGACTCCCAGGGAGGGAAGGGCTGGAGCTACTAAACAGGCAGCTAAGCTAAGTGCCTGAAGGGCCCAATCCCATCAGCAAATGGGAGTAATTGCTCTGATGGGCCGTATCTGGCCCAGTTGCTGTAAATTGAGGGTCCCTGATTTAGTGCAACATTAAAAATGCAAAAATGCAAAGATTTTTCTGCGGACCACCAAAATTTTATCGCGGACACCAGTGGTCCATGGACCACCAGTTGGTGACCACTGAGAAAGAAAGTAATAAGCTGAGAGTGGTGTAAAACGTTCTGTCATAAAGTGTTTCAACTGAACTCTGAAAAAGGACAGCTCGGCATAAGTTTCCAAGTCTTCTGAAGTCAGCCCATTTATGGAACGGCAGAACATTCTGTGACATTCTCTGGATCTCTTCTTGAACATACTTAGGAATGGATTATTCTGGAATCAGAATGTCCCGAGGACCACACATTTTGCACAGACTTGCAATGGAATGGAAGATTTTTTTATTAAAAAAAACAGATTTAAAAATATTTCATTCTGAAAAATATTATGTATTAATATGATATTTTTATTAATTATTCTATGCGAAGTAAATTGTAATTGTACATTTCACTATATTGATTGAAGCAGTTATCACAGAAGAAGGAGTAAAACTTCAAGTGAGAAAATAATAAGAAAGAAGATAATGTTCTTGGCAGTCCTGCTGGATGTTACATGCTGGTATGTAGTTGCCCTACATTCATTATAATCTTGTACTTGGATATATAAGCTTATTTAAATCTAGGAATGACATAATCTTTTCCAATTAAATAACAATTCAAAGTGTACAATATAAATGGTAGGAGTATCTTTCCTGTCCAAAAACAAAAACAAAAAAAGTATGAATGAACTTTGGATATATTTCCATGGTATATTATGCGAGGCTCCTTGTTCAGCTGTCCTTTTGGCAGATGGAAGGGTTCCTTAGGCCTTTACTATTTGCTTGTTTGTAAACACAGACCTGTGCTTATTTACTTGTTCTTTTGAGTATTCTGCCTGGTTTTTCTGCCTTGCCTTGCCATTCGTTTATAAGTATCTCCATAAAAACGCATTCACAATTCTACTTTTTCTTGCAATCTACACAGTAACTAAGATTAGATGAACAACGTTTCTTGCTTTTGGCTTGTTTTGATCTAACAGACACCTTCTTCATTTCAAGGAGAAACCATTTGCTTGCCGTATTATGCCTGCAGACAAAGTAATGTACAATGAAGACGGAA